CTTTAGGTGCACCGGTGCCGTGAAGGTATCGACAGTGTTGTTTCGAAATCGAATAAAGTCCTTTCTTACGTTGCCCAAGGCACTTATGAAAGCAATACGTACGACCAGGATTGCGCCGTAAAATCGAACTTCGAGCCGCGAACAGGGCACAAGAGACACTTTAAGAGGACATAGGGACGTGTCATGCAGTTGTATTATACCTGAAGGATAAGCTTTCGCTTAGGTTCTGTCTAACGATCAGGACGAAGCAATGCAATAATCGAAATGAAACCGTTTAATGAATTAACAAGAAATTTCAGTGCTGACGTAATTATATAGAGCAGTAGGTGACTGCAATAATCCTAATTAATATTATACGTAAAAGCGAATTACGTTATGTAATTGGTCAACTGATTATGATGAACTTTTGTACATGCCTTGTTAGGGGTACAGAGAAGGGTATAGGGTACCTTTTATCCAGAAGAACAATACTGTTCCAGAGGGATAGAAATATTTCTTTTCATCTCGATAAAGGACAGAATTTACTGTTATTCTGGACAAGGTATGTGGTTAACCTAGAAAATTGTAACTTTAGTTTTATTCTGATGATCCTGATCAGGACATACGAAAAAATTTATCAAATTATTCGTTTTCGATAAGTAATGTATATGTATTTAGGATATCAACGCAAGCATGTAAACAGTAAGGAACACAATTTTGTCAAAATTTTAAAATAAAAACGAATTAAAATTTAATTTAGTAAGTATATCAAATTTTGGAAGATTAACACATATAACATATATAACAAAAAGAAAAAGAGAGTTATTTGGCTTGTTCTTTAATTCAATGTCGACGGCGTGCTGATGAGATCCTCTAAGAGATAGAAATCGTGATCCACGCCTAATGGTTTAGAAAATCACCGACTAAAAACGTTTGTTACTGTATTAGATAATACTACAGCATTTCCTATCCTTGTTTGCGAATTGGAAACAACCCTCGTATAAGAAAATATTTAGCCCCACCCACGTTGCTGAATTACAAAAAAAAAACCGAATAATACTAAACATTTTGCACAGATGAAAACATTTTGCTTAAAATTTTGTATTCCACAGTAGATGTTGGTTGCCTCAGGCCCGCCTGAAGTTCAAAGCTTCCCGATGTCGCGTTAGGTACATATTTTTTGAAAGCTTTTTGTTTTTCTTTCTATTACATTGCATATATGTATTCAAATTCATTTCTTTATGCTAAGCAATGATTGACAAAAGAAAACAAGACACATCGTCTTTAAAAGTAGACTATTTCTTTTTGGTGAAAATTGCTTTACAAAATCGTTTCTGTTATTTATAAATATACAACATTGTGCATTAGTAAGGCTACGCATTTAGGATTTTGTGCTCAAACGTTGAAAAACAACCCTTATTAAAGTTTTAATAACAATATTAATTCACTTGGAAAATAATGGACGAAATCTATGCATACATCAAATACATGTTTTCCGATTAAATACTTACGAATACTTGGTGCAAATGGAACACTTAACGCCCTCTTATTTGGGAAAGTGTATATACTTTACGTTTTCCACCAATGTTTTTAGACGTGGCGCTTTTCAGGCTAATTCGCTTCCAGTCTATTTCACTATTAAATTAAAAATAAAAGTATTTAACGTCTAAAACTCGGTAGCATTCAATTGAATAGTGACGTAACTACGAGGGTGGATTGATAAGTTTCCGGCCTAACCAAGAGATGACGCCACTAGGCCTACCTTGAGGTGACATTCTATAGTACCATCCTTGGATAGCTTGTAGCTATAGTTTCAGCCCGATCTCCTTGCTAGTGTAGGTTTGACAGCACG